ATGAATATTAAAGTTTGTGTAACATCTGACTTTTTTTAAAGGAATGAAGTCAAATGTTAGAAAAAAAAATATGAATGAAAAAGCTACACTTCACCATAATTCTAATTTGATTACTGGTCAAATACTTGTGTTTTTTGTCTTTCGGTATGATGTACATGTGCCTGATTATAATAGAGTTCTAGTCTTTCCTAACTATCTGCTTAAATTTTTATCACTACGTCTTAAAGCTATTCTGGAAGGATTTTCAGCAGGGTTCTTGAATGATGCACCGGCAGTGGGTGATCTTCCTATTCATTCCACTCCTACTTTCCTGCCTTCATCCTGCAGGAAACCTAATGTGCCTGTTACTGACTGGGTAACTGGCTTCGGGTTTAACTGGGCGGAGCCAATGCAGGACCTGTGTTTCACAGGGAGGAAAAATGAGAATGCCCACATAGCTGTTAAAAACCTCAGTGCAATAATTTTATTGCTGAATCTGGATAATAAACTCTACCTGGAAGTTGGGTCATGAATGCATGATTATGTCTTTCTTGAAATTATGTCACTTTTTCTACCACATTGTGATAGCAACTACTTGAAGGAGATTTACCATCACGGAGCTCCACAAAATACCTCACGATGTCTTGGATGCTTTGGGTATAACTGTGCCTAAAGACAGATGGCCTTTGATATTGCCTCCAGTTCTATTATTTCTATTTGTTTTAAAATCAGTATTTATTTTTTTTTTATTTTAAAAATTTTTTTGAAGATTTTACTTTTTTCCTTTTTCTCCCCAAAGCCCCCCAGTACATAGTTGTATATTCTTCGTTGTGGGTCCTTCTAGTTGTGGCATGCGGGACGCAGCCCTAGCATGGTTCGACGAGCAGTGCCACGTCCGCGCCCAGGATTCAAACCAACGAAACACTGGGCCGCCTGCAGTGGAGCGCGGGAACTTAACCACTCAGCCATGGGGCCAGCCCCGTAACCAGTATTTATTTTAATTAATGAAAAATTCATAGATCGTCGACTGAAGAATGATCCTTCCCTACTTGGAACTTTTTATCTGTTCTTGAAAGTTGCATGTGGAATAAGGAGACAGGGCCGTGGATCCTGTCAGGGCAGTCAGGTCAACCCCAGTACATAGTATGGTGACCGATTATGTCCTCTAACTCTGAAACTGTACAACCCTTATTGACTGGCTCCAGGTATGGTCTAATTGAGGTGTTGGTCAGCGTTTGGGTTAGTCTCTGTCTCCACTTCAACTCCTAGATTAACATGAGATGATGCGAATGTTGTAAAGTGTCTGGGACAGAGCCCAGAACATAGTAGACGCTCAGTATGTGGTATCTGATTATTTTTATTTACTTTCAAAGAATGCTGAGTGGCTGGCAGCCGTCCAAAGAAGCTTGCCGTTTGAGGAATTTGTTCACAGACCATTGGATTGCAAACTCTATGAGGGCGAGGATGTAATGGTGCTATCCCCAGAGCCCAGCAGAGAGTCTGCTACACTGGAGATACTAAATAAATATTTGAGGGATTATTGAATGATCAGCCCTGCAGGCTTCTGGGAATTATAGAAAGAAAATGGTTGGAAAGGGGCATTCGCTTTTCAGAAGGAACAGCATGCACAAAGATGGCCCCACTTTGTTTTAAAGGAGTTTCATTGTCTTTAGAAAAAAAAAAAATAGTATGGTCCCTTTCTCCAAACAGCTTGAGAGACGTGAGGACCCGAGATTTTTAAACTGGGAAGTCATATGATGAATTCGTGTTTTATCAAAATCACAAGATGCTCCGCCAGGTTGTCTTATCTCAGATGGACTCATGTTGAACAGCTGCCTCACGGATGGCAGGTGGGAAAAGACATAAGAATCCGACTTTATAAAATTGTAGGGTTTGATTTTAGTCTTCCCTGGCGGTTTGTCCTTTTCTGATCACTTTGTGTGTGCTAGGCACTGTGCTAGGTAATTTTTATACATTCTCACTGCAAATCAGTAATGAGGTCAGTTACGTTTTCCTCTATTTCATAAGAGGAATTTCATGTGCAGTGACTTATCTAAGGTCTCACAATTAATATATGGTGAGGCGATGTATTTTATCCCACTTTTTAAAAAAACTGCTTTAGTGAGCTGTAATTCATATATCACAAAATTACCTATTTAAAGTGTACAAGTCAGGGGTTTTTAGCATATTCAGAAGTGTGCAATCATCTTCTATTCTTGAAATTATGTACATATTTGCTTTATCCAGTGCCCAGGACAGCTTTTTCTAAGGTTGGTGATAACTAATTTCACAAGGTGATCAAGCAGAACTTTACTGGCACACTGGTAAAATGGCTCACAGGTTCAGTTTTAGCCAGATGCCCGTCCGAATCCCAGCCCCCTGAGACTGGTTGTGTGACCCTGGGCAAGTTCCTTAACCAATCTGTGCTTTAGGTTCACTATCTGCAAAAAGGGGATAGTAAGTCAAGGAGGGAATTCACTTAAAGCACTTACAATGATGCCTGATGCCTACTAACTGCTCAATAAATGTTAGCTATTATTGTTGTTGTTAAAAGTGTAGTAACAGATCCACATAACTCTGAATATTTCAGGATCCTGAAATAGCTTCTCAATCATGAAAATTGTGGTCACTGAAAAGTATTTATTGTATGCTAATTCTCTGCCAATTGATGACCCATGGAATGTCAACAATTTACTAATGAAATTTCTTTTACAACTTGATTATTTGGCATTCAGAAGGTATCTTCCCATTTAAATACTACCTATTGTGACACAGACAGCTAGCTGCCTACCTAATCTCCCTTTGATCCTTCTTTCTCATTGACAGAGCACAGGTTTTGATCTGTATGGCATGTGTGGGGTAAGGGAACTGTATTTTTGCCCTCCCTCCCAGTTGAGATGACCAAAGATATGTAAATAGATATTGCTGATCAAGGCTTCCAAGAAAGGTCCTTCAAGTGGACTGACTTCGGTGGGAGAGGAGTCTTTCTGCCTTCTTCTTTTCCTCCTTCTCGAGGTCTTGATCATGGACTTGTTGTCTGGAGCTCCAATAGCCATCTTAGACCATAAGCTGAACTTGAGAAAGAAACTACTTGTTCAGTATGGCGAAGCAGAAAGATGGGAGCTGCATGCTGCATGCTTAATATCAACCGTGGACTGTCTATCTTCTTTTACATGAGAGAAAAACAACCCACTTTAATGTTACTTAACTCTTCTGCTATTTACAGCTGTATCTAATTGCAGTTCACACTTACACTTTCCTTGGTCAGCTCAAAATGGACTACAGTCTTTCAACAAACACTTTTCAAGCATCTACTGTTGTGTGCCAGTCATTGTTCTGAGGGCTGGATATGCAAGGGAAAAAGACAGTCTCTCCTCTCAAGGAACTAACAGTATGGTGGAAGAGACAGAAAATCAAACATAGTACAATGATGTTCGTGCCAGAATCGGGCGTGGGAGGGGACAGGTTGGTCAGGATAAACTTGACTTTCGGGAGGACGTGACAAAGTTGAAGATTGAAGAGGTTATCAACAGAGAAGGAAAGGGCATTTCAGGCAGAGAAGCACCTGACAGCAATGACCCGTGATGCCCAGTGGCATTTCTCTGAGGAAATAATTGTTTCAATTGAGATACTGAGAACATTATCTCACCTTTGCCTACAGGAGCCAGGTCTTTATCTTTTTGCCATCCCCTCATCCTCTAAGACCTACGTTGGTGGCGGGTCGTAGCTCCAGGTAATGTCTGCTGCAGAAATGTTATGCACTTCATTAAAGAACTGACTAGCAGATGTAAGGATTCAGAGGATTAAGCCTCAGACGGTAGAAGGGGGAAGAGGGGACATTTGGCAAAGAGGCACAGAGGTGTCTTTTTGCCCTTTCCTCACAGCTGACCTAACCTGAAGGAAAAGAATGAAATGGTTGGGATGGGAAGGCTGGGTAGCCCATCTGTTGTCGACCATGTCTGTCCCGCTCACCTCCTCCTGGAGTGCAGGGGCAGATGAGAAACGTGTTCAGGGGAAGGAGTAATTTGCAGTAGTGAAACAAAATGTGGACTGCTTACAGCAGACCCTGCTGGGGTGGCGATTTGCATGAACAGTCACAGACTGGGCCTACTTCTGTCGCACACATCCCGACTCCCGAGATTAGCTGGAGTCCTCTAGTCTCTGAATATGCAAATACAAGTTTACAGTTTCTAATTTACAGGCCATTTTATAAAATTAAAAATGCTCCCAAGGTCAATGAATTGTGAAATCTCATCCTGTAAAAACTGTTTTGTTCTATTACCGTATACTCACATACATGGCTAATGAAATCTCTTGACTATCATGAAGGACAGAAATGGGGCTCTTACAAACAAAAGGAGAAACTTTTACTGAGAGCCATGAGCTAGATGTTATCCTTTAATTCTCAGAACAGACAGTTATCTTTACTTTTACATTTCATTTTTATTTTTACAGATTAAGAAAATATGGTTAACTGATTTGCTTAGGGTCATACAGCTAGTAAGTGATAAAAGCAGGACTCAACCAGAGGGCTGTATATTTCCCAAGTTTCTGCTCTTTCCACTTGAATTTTGAATTGTATACTACTTAGATTCAGCATCAGCACCAAAATATTAAATAGTATTAAACAGTAAAGTGCTCAACAACTATTTTTCTTATTATTTGTAAGTTTATAAGCTCTTTAGTTCTCAATAATTACTTACTTATTCACTCAGCCCATAAGAGTTATAAAGTGTATATATTTGTTACTAAAGTGTCTCTTTTTACATAGTGCTTCAACAGCAGCCCTTCTATGAGAGGTGGCTTTTAGTTTAGAAAAATCTAGTAGTTATCAAGTGCAAGATTAGTGGGACAGTGGGAATTTCCCATCTCTTTTTAGCTACTGCATATTCCAGTAAACCAACAACAAGAGAAGAACCATCAACACAGGGACTCCATCTTATTCCAGGCCCCTCTAGAGCAGTTCAGTAGTTAGTTTCACCTCAATGAATACTGACTAAAGGAAAGAAAGAAACAAAAAGGTTTTTTCAACCACGTTTACTGGCTCACATAAATATATGAAAACAAATCCATCTGTCTTCCCTTTCGGTATCCTTGGCACAGTTTATTACAGTTCTTAATAAACAAACTACTGTAAATATCCATAAGGGGAAAATGAATTGTAAAATACGAAAAAAGAGGTCAATAAATAGCCAAATATGTCAAACATTGAAAGGACTATTTTTTTAAAGATTAAACACTGATTTGCAACTTTTACTAAAATAAATTTCATCTATAAAAACAAGGTAATTTATTACTTGTTCTCAACTCAAATTTTGACAGCAGTTGAATTTTTACAGAAAAAAATTGCAAAAAATTTCAACTAAAGAGCAAATCAAACATTGGGACACAATTTTATACTTTAAAAATTCTATCAACTTCAACAAATAAAGAATGACTGCATATCAATTTCTGTTAGTCCTCTGGTCCCGAATACACTTTCCATTTAAATATTTTAATCACTCTTCTGTACAGCATGGAGGGCTTCTAGTGGGAATTCGTATATAGTCTGTTCTTGATGAAGACAACACTAGACAGATGTTGCCTGATGCCTGGATAATGCTGAATGTGACAAAACCAGCGAGACACATTAAGATACTTCTCCTTTTCTTGAACTGTCAGGTCAACCTAAGTAGAGATTAAAAACACACACACACACACAAAACACAGACATTACATAAGCAAAACTATTAATATCATTTGAGTAGGAGATAGAAATTGGAGAAAAAAAAACAGTTCTCAAAGCCAACATATTCAGATAGCAGTCAAAAATTTTAGCCACTTGGACGAGCTATCCATTTGTTTAATGCTTTTATGTACAGTTCAAAACCAGATGTGCTTTCTAGGGAAATCTCAGGTTTTCAACAAACGAAAAATTTACATTAAACCAGGATCTAGAAGCCCAAAGAGTTTGTTTTTTACTTTACTGGAAAGGAAAACAGGAGAAAAGAAGAAAAAGAATGGTTTACTGCTATCCAACATACCAAACGCGAAAACATTATGTAAACTCAAATATTATACATTCATGGATGGCTGCTCTCTATATATAGACTACTACTTCCTTTCTGCTAAACTCTGGGGGAAAACTTTACGCAAGAAGAGAATGACCTACTTAATTTTAAGTGATTATTGCTTAATACAAGAAGGAAGGGCTATTTCTAGCGGCATATGCCTCAGATGAACAACAGACCTTCTAAACTGTTTGCAATAAAGCTGAACTCTATCTTTAGTGGGTGTAGCAGTTCAGAGAATTTACTATCAAGCTTCAGAATGCCCAGAGATTTGGTCAGAGAAAAATGCAATACAAACAGTTGGTGCCTATCATTTCTCTGGGCTCAGGCTCCAAAGAAGGTGACTCAGACTTTTGTCTAAGACCAAGCTTGGACTGGAACCATGAAGAGTTGCCAGGTAAAACGAAGGCCAGCAGGGCAGTAGCTCAGCCACGGCCATGCGAGAGTGGTGCAGACCCTCAGCATGCTGTCAACTCGCGATTTATTCAGCAGATATTGCAAGTCTGTGTAAAACTGACAGGAATGTTTACAGAGAAAAAACCTCAGTCACCCGCATGTGGTTCAAACCCATTAGCAGCCTGCTTGTTGGAAGGCACTTTTAGTGAGATGGGTGTCCTGTGGCTTCAGAATTTAGCATATCCTTGTGCCTACAGGCAAATATTCTGCTAAATTACCAGGTCAACAAAACTAAGAACAAATCACTCTAGTATGCAATAGTTTTACAGAATATAAAATAGTATTAACAATACAATTAAAAGGTAGACACAGTACTTTCTCAATAAATGTTTAACTGAGCTCATATTTTCATTTTATATTTACTATAAGGCAACTTAAAAAGAAAAGTTGAGGGGCCGGCCCCATGGCCGAGTGGTTAAGTTCCTGCGCTCTGCTTTGGTAGCCCAAGGTTTCACCGGTTTGGATCCTGGGCGTGGACCCAGCACCGCTCATCAGGTCACGCTGAGGCAGCATCCCACATGCCACAACTAGAAGGACCTACAACTAGAGTGTACACTGTGTACTGTGGGACTTTGGGGAGAAGAGGCCAAAAAAAAAGAGAAAAATTGACAAGTCATCCTGCCTTCCTTTTTGCCTTTATGACATTAGGATACTATTGTATCAATATCTGATCTTTTAACATTCTCTTGGGTGGTCTAAATGTTTATTTCTGTTGGCCTAGTTTACCTAAATTATTAGCAGTGAAAGTCTCACTGTTTCTGTTACATAAAAATTTAAGTCCTACACAAGCTGCTATATATACATATATAGCAAATTATAACAATAGACTCATCTTGTTTAAGGGGCTGTCAGGTGACTCTCAGAAATACATTATATAACTGTTTCACCTACAATATAGTTAGTCCATGGCATGGAGATAAAAAACTAACACATTAGTCAAGAAAATTGGTCAAGAATGTCTTTTTTTTATGCAGAAGTTACTTTTTATTAAATGAGAATTCTTGATTTCACATATAAAGAACTACATTACTCCTAACTGTCTGGTGTGCTATATATAGAAGGCACTTAACCACTGAGGAATAAACTGAATATCAGTTTATATTTGTAAAAGAGCTCACTTTTTGTTCTTTTTCTAAATCTTTACTATATGTGACCTTAGTCACATACATAGTTTTTCAAAGGAAAAGACTTTTAAAAAAGCTCAACCACTAGTAAACAGCTGCAAACCTACCAGGCAATGGGAGTGAGTTTTCATAAATAAACAAATAAATTTCAAAATCAACTTCGGTGAACCTTTTTACTGATAGTTAAAGCAAACAGAAGTAACAAGCTTTACTCCAACTTGATTTCATGACAGCTGCTGAGATATGATGATTCAAATCTGACCACTTTTCTAAACAATTTAGCGTTTTCAGAATTCTTTCACTATAAAACGTCTCCACTCAGCACTTCTGTGAGATGCCATTTTTTGGAATGAATTAAAACACACTGAGAGGAAAGCATCTGTAAATGATAAAGTACTGATGTTTGTCTGATCTACATTCTAGCTGGTCACTCAGCTTCTGAAACAGGGGACAAAGGGCATGTTTACTGTCGACATTTCAGAACAGCATCTGCTTTCACACAGGACTAGCATATGCTGCCACCAGGCCTATGACTTAAGTAACAACAACAACAACAAAATACAACACACAGCAAAAATCAATATTTTCCAACTTAAAAATTTCAGAGTCTCCAGTGTAAGGATTATGAAGAGACCAACAGGACAAACTAATTTTTGTTCCTGTATTTTTTAAGTAGATGATCTATTTTAGAGAATGTAAATCTGTTCACTTTCCCTCAGACAATTTTGCCAGAAATACACAGAGCTTTTCCAAAAGGATCAGGTTACCACTTAACCTTTAGTTTAAAGTCTGGAGCTTGTCCTTTGAGTCTGAGAAAATGACGACTGACCTTGATTTGTTACCTCGGCTACTCTTTTGGTGGACGTTCTATTCCTGAACTTACTGTAAACAGACAAACAAACAAAAAACCAGATTCCCCACCACCACCAAACTTAGTTTTTTTTAGGACTTTTTGGATGAGATCCCCATCAACTATTTCACTGATAACAATGGTTTTCCATCATCCCTTTCTAGTCAATTAGGTTTTTATTTTTCCTTTTTTACCACAGGAAACACAACGCAACTGTTCTAGTTACAATTTCCTGCTTCTTATTGGCCTACACGCCAGTGTGTCTACGGGGGTGCTTGGCTCTCTCTACTTAATCATTTCTTTTATTTACACTGGCACCAGATAACTAGTTTGAACTTTAAAGCCAAACAGATAATATACTTAGTCACTAAGTTTCCATGAAGACATGTGAGAAGCACTCCACGGGCCTCATTCCAGATCAGGGTGAAATGCCGCGCTGCTACCTTTCTAACTGGCACCATGCTGCCTTGGGACATTCTTTATGGTCAGCGTCCCTGGACGGCTCTGCAGCTATGTCTTTTAGTTTTCCTTTCTTTCTAAAAGAACAGCATACCTCCAACGGCTCTGAACTTCAAAACAAATGCATTTCGGTTGATAACAATCTTACAGTCAAGCAGCACACAACGTTACAAAGGATTTTAATAATCTTGAGTAACAGTCTGTTCATAGGGACTGCTATCTACTAGTGAAATCACTTTAAGAAAGCAATGAGTCACTGGCGTGATAATAAACAGCCACACTAACTGGCAATTTAACAAAGGAAGAACAACGTAATATTCCTCAAAGGGAATGAAGATAGACCAGATCTTATAAATAGAGTAACTCAGCCACAACTAACACTGGGCTCACACTGAAACAAAATACAGTGGGATTATCTGATGACTGGCAGGTTCCCTGACTGCTGTTTTGTACAGTGTGCTGACTACATATTAAGTTTTAATAACATGAACAAATAATTGAAAGAATGCAAGAGGGCAAAAATAAATACACTGCTAAAGTAAACACAGCATGAGAAACTGTCTGACGAACCTGAGCAGATGCCAATCTGCACTGCACATCTACCCTGCCTCAACGGAATACCTAGGAATCACTGTTTTCTCACCTGGGTCTATTTACACCTAACTCAAAGGGATGTCATGTAACACCACGGTGCAATTCTGTCGCAGCAGGGGTTTCGGTCAGTGAGGCCTGTTCCTTGAGAAGGTGGTACTTCTCCCATGCACTCTGGCTGCACTTGGACCAGGGTGGGAGAGATGCTGTGGTTATGGGCTCATTTTATGAACCCAAAGAGATTGTTAACAGAGTGATTTACATAATATTCCACTCATTTTTTTTTGAAAAAGATAAGCATAATATTCTTAATCATAATATCCTAGCTGCTACATGTAAAGAGGATATACATTACAAAATAGGAAATAGAACTAGGTGCAGATCATTAAATATTGCTAATGTAACTCAGTTTTAAGGTGCAGCACTGAACGAAACACTTCCAACGTGCTTGAAACCGAGCGCCCTCGAGGGCACCTAGACTCACAATTACATTGCTTGGCGGCTGGTGCTGTGAGTACGTTGCCCTGTAAAATTACGGCCTTGCTCTCTCTGCTGGCAGAAAGACTCCATGAAAGCCCCTCCTCCTCAGAGTACTCCTTCCCTACCGCACGACCTGCGTGCGCCAGGGAGAGAAAAATGAAAATAGAGTATACACTTGGTTTGCAAGAGTCACACCTCATTATCATCTTTTTCTTTTAATTAGATGGGGGAAATGCTCTCCTTCCTAACGACACTTGACACTACACGAAGGCAGACCTTGCGACGGTCCTGATGGGCCTTCATGAGTCTGCGGACAGGCATCACACACAGGATTAGAGATGACATTTCCCTTAATATTAAGCTTTAAAATTAAGTAAGGTCATATTTAAATATATTTTTAAAACGTCAACAAGAGTGCTGCTGTTGTTTTTAGAACAAATTGTTCTTGCTCCCCTCTGTAAAGTAGGTATGCTCTTGGCAGCACAGCCTCACTCAAATCAAGTTTGGGCTCCTCCAAGTTGTGAGACTGTACGATGTAGGTTTGCCACCACCAGAAGGATCCTTAGCTACCTTATTAACAACAAAGCCTCTGTACCGTGGAGGCTTTCTGCATTTTGAGATGAGGTAAGCTGCGCCAGGTCACCATCTGAAGTTCAAAAAGCTAATAAAATATACTAAATCTAAAATGGAATAAAAAGAGGCTGGTGTGATGAAAGTACTTCAGCTCTATTTAAACTGCCTTCACATTTTAATAAGAGTACTTTAGATTTAATTATACTGAAGTATATAACTAAGGATTACACTTTCACTATAAAGATATACAACTTAAAATAGGAAATATAAAGAGGTAGAGATTGCTAAATATTGCTCATCTCAATAAACATTTAGCTGCACAAGGCGTTGTGCCAAGAGCTGGGAGGGGTACAAAGAGAAACATGACATGATCCTCCTCAATGTCCTTACTCTGCTTAAAATTGAATCATATTCCTCCTAAGAAAAGGAACATTCAGCCCACTTTATTTCTGTTGTCCCAGCATAATTATTAATAGCCCTCCTTTCACTGTCAAAAGTGTTGTTTTGGATGAGAAATCGTATGGTCATCCACTTACGAACAATATTTATAGTCAAACTATCATAAGCTTTCTAAGACGATGACAACTCCCTCAGACAGCCAAAGCCACCCAAATCCTGCAGATATTTTTCTGACAATTTCATGATTCTCCATCCTATTTTTCTCTATCTGCCTCTTTAATTGATCACATATATTCTGATCAGAAATCAGCACTGGACTCCATCTTCTCTTACTCGCCAATTGTTTTCACATAAAACAGTCTTATCTCTTTGGTGAGATCAATAGTTGCTTACAAATAGAGTTTTATATTTCTTTTATGCCCCTCAAGCGTAGTATAATGGGCACATATAATAAGCTCTCAATAAGTAAACGTGTAATAATAGAGAATATTATGCTGAATTAAGGATCATACTAGGCCATTACAATAATAACGTTTTTGAACTTAACACAATCACTTAGGGCTCTTAGAGAAATAATGCTTATAAGTCAAGCAAATCCAAATTGAAGAATTATAGCTTGAGGGGGGACGAAGAGTAAGTATCCTTCCTTATCATGGTATTTTCATTCACAAAGAGCTTCCTCGCACATTATGACACTTGAGCCGGAAGACCTAGTTTGTCTTGGCCCTTCCAAAACCTGAGCTCTGTGTCTTTGCATAAAGCCCGTCATGTTCCTAAGCATTAGTTTCCTTCTCTGTAATGGAAGGAGAACACTACACTATCTTCTTCATAGTAATGAGGTACAATGAGAAAATAAGTATTAAACTCTTTCAAAGAGATAAAGAAATATGTTAAACATGTTCTTCAATGTTTATGGAGGGGAAGACAGACTGCGTCCCCGTGCCAGGAATGACGCCCAACAGCGGCGTTACAGAAATGAACTGCTGCAGTCTCTGACGCAAGCAGCTCATCACTTAAGAGAGGCAGAAACTGGCCAAGAAGAATTTCAGTACAAAGTGAAACGAGCCGGAGCTGAGGCCGTCTGTGAGGTGCAAAAACAAACAGAGGAAAGAGCACTTCAGAATGCTGCAGGAGCATGAGAAGACTTTGCCAGGAAATTAGTGCTGGAACTAAGTGACACCTGAAGAAATACCAACGAATTTGGGAGGAAGATAAGGGCTGGGACCAAGGAGCAAAAGAGAAGAGCAGCACAAGGACACTGAGCAGAGAGCACAGGCTGAGGAGACTCCAGGGAGAATGTTATGGTGAGAGAGAGGCATGAGGGGAGAATGAGGGCGATGAGGAAGGCAGGGTCACATGAAGAGGGGCCTCCTATCCTAGGGAGTGACGAGCTACTTAATTATTTTGAGAAAGAAAAAGACACATTCATGAGAAAAATCACTCCAGTGGCAATAAAGATGGACTGTAAAAGAGATGAGACTGGTGGCCGAAGGCCATTTCCACAGCCCAGACCAAAGATAATGAACTCTGGAACTAGGGCAACGTCACGCGGCATCACAGGAAGAGACACACGTGAGGCACCCGGGAGGTGGAAACAACAGGACCTGACTGACTGGATGTATGAGGTGCAGAATGCAGAAAAATGTATGGGTTCTCTTGTTCCACAGGGAGAATATAGGTGTTGGCGTGTTGGGGGTTGAGAGGTTTTAAATGGAGAGAGAGATGAAAGAAACTCTGAAGCCAAACTGCCTGGTTTCCAGACTTGGTTTTGTCATCTACTTGGGTGACCTCAAAGAAGACATCTGACCTCTCCAGGCCTCAGTACTTCATCTGTAAAAAGGGGATGATAATAATAGCATCCACCTCCTAGGGCTGTTATAAGGATTAAATGAATATCATTTATAAAGCATAAAGAACAGTGCGTAGAACATAGTGAGTGCTACATAATTGTTTGTAAATAAATTTAAGATGGGAAACAATATAAATTAAAGAGATTGACCAGATAGAGGGAAAAAATTGAAGATATGAGAAAGAAAGGAAACAAAATTTGGGAGAAGATCCAGACAGGGGACAGGAGGTAGAGAGGGAGTTGAGGTAAGAGGCTAGATGAATGCATTAGCCTAGGAAAAAAGCAAGACCCTTTCTGAGGCCAGAAAAAGGAGACAAGACGGATGAGGATGTACGTGTAGGTGGGCTGGAAGATGAGGGGATTCAAACCATGGCCTCCATTTTCTAGTTGAATGAGGGAGGGAGGCTCTGTAATAATGATGGAAGATAGAGGGAGGATGAGGGGTGGGGCTTGAGGAAAGTGCTAAAGTTCTAGAAGTGTGCCTGGGAGGCATGAAAGAGTTGATCAGTATGAGAGCCCAGCTGAAACTGGACAGCATCAATCTACAGTGGCTCCACTCTATAGCTTTGTGATTTCTCCAACAGAGCTCAGTCTGGATAGAGGACTGAAGGCATTTATTTGGACTGAACAAGAGTTGGGGACATACAGGGAGAGGGTGGTAAACGTACAGTAGAGCAAAGAAGCTGAAGACCCTAATTAGGGAATGTAGTCGAAGTTATGCAAGAGATCTAAGCTGGATGGGGAAGAAAGTGTACAGATTTGGAAAAAGAGAAGGAATCAAGTTACTTCAGAAAATTATAGGATTAGGGAGTAAGAGATTAAGAGGTAGGATAAGAAGCTGCCCAGAAGATGGGTTACCGGAATTAAGATGTAGAGGTGGAGCAGAATGATGACGATGGGGTCCAGGTGACGATGACCAAGCCCAAAGGGTGGCAAGAGAAGTCGTCTTGAAGAAGAGCAGAAGCAAGAACAGGAATCAAGCAGGTCAGGGAACAGGAAGCTACTGTGTTCAATGGATACATGGAAGGAATGTTTGCATAAGCTATCTTGTATAAAAATAACTGCTTTCCTTTTTATTTGATGAGTTGAAAGTGCAAATTTGATTTAAATTCAAGACAAATAAAAATCATTCTGAACATTACAGAAAAAAAGCCAGCAACTCTTCAAATACTCACTATAAAGCGATGAAGGCCATAGTATAATAGGATGTCTGCTAAGGTAAAGTTGTATCCTGTAAGGTAGACTTTATCTTCAAGATACGAATTAAGATCCTAGAAAAGACAAATAACAAAATATTAATATAAAAAAGATAATGAAGTTAACTACAATATCATTTGACTGAAAACATTTAGAAGGCTATAGAAAACAAAATACAGACATTTAATAAATTTAATCTTTGACATTAATAGGTTCAGATTCATTCAAAATCACCAATGATATACCAAATCACTTCATTTTTAAAAAGAGTAGATACTATTAGTCTTATTTTATTTTAAAGAAATAAGAAAACATTAGAAAATGATATTCAAAGTGTCATCTATGATCATCTCAAAGACTGTAATTTTTATTTTTTTGGAGGGAAACATTTTGTAAACCAGGCTCATGTTACATTTATTTTTTACATTAAAATATAAAAAGTTCCTCAATAATTTCTCTTAAGAGAATTATAATTTATCGGTTTATTGCACTTTTTGTATATGTATATTTTAAAATTTTTCATTGTGGTAGAACACATGTAACAAAAATTTACCATCTTAACTATTTTTAAGTGTACAATTCAGTAAGTGTTAAGTGTATTCACATCGTTGTGCAACCAATCTTCAGAATTTCTTCATCTTGCAAAACTAAAACTCTATTCCTATTAAACAATTTGTCCATTTCCCCCTCCCCTCAGGCCCCGGCAACCACCATTCTACTTTCTGTTTTCTATGAATTTCACTACTTTAGATACTACATATAAGTGGAATCATAGAGTATGTATTTTTTTGTGACTGGTTCATTTCACTCAGCGTATTGTCAAAGTTCATCCATGCTGTAGCTGGCATCGGAGTTTCTTTCTTTTCTAAGGCTGAGTAATATTCCATTGTATATATATACTACATTTGGTTTATCCATTCATCTATCAATGACATTATAGACATTTGGGTTGTTTCCACCTCTCAGCTATTGTGAACAATACTGCTATGAACATGAGTGTACACATATCTCTTTGAGACTCAGTTTGAATTCTTTTGGGTATATATCCACAAGTGGAATTACTGGATCTTATTGGATCATATGGTAATTCTATTTTTAATCTTTTGAGGAATCGCCATATTGTTTTTCCTAGCAGTTACACCATTTTACATTCCCACCAATGGTACATAAGGTTTCCAATGCACATCTCTGCCAACATTTGTTCTATCTCGTTTTTTAGGTAGTAGCCAACCTAGCAGCTAACCTAATGTGAGGTGATATCTCCTTGTGATTTTGATTTACATTTCCCCAATGATTAGTGCTGTTGAGCATCTTTTCATATGCTTGTTAGCTTTGTCTATCTTCTTTGGAGAAGTACCTGCTCAAGTCTTTTGTCCATTTTTTAACTGTGCTCTTAATTTTTTTTGTTGAGTTGTAGTTCTTTATAGATTCTGGATATTAACGCCTTATCACATATATGATGTGCAAATATTTTTTCCCATTCCATGGGTTGCCTTTTCACTCGGTTGATTGTATCTGTTGATGCATGGAAGTTTTAAATTTTGATGTAGTCCAATATATCTATTTTTATTTTGGTTGCCTGTGCTTTTGGTATCATATCCAAAAAATCACTGTCAAATCAAATGACATGAAGCTTTTCCCCTATGTTTTCTTCTAAGAGTTTTATAGTTTTAGGTCTTATGTTTAGGACTTTGATACATTTTGAGTTATTTTTCGTATATTGTATAAGGTAAGGGTCCAACTTCATTCTTTTACAACTGGACATCTAGTTTTTCTAACACCCTAAAGACTCCGGTTTTAAATAGAGTACCATTAAAAGCTACAGAAAGGGGCCGGCTCCGTGGCTGAGTGGTTAAGTTCGGGTGCTCTGCTTTGGCAGCCCAGCATTTTGCTGGTTTGGATCCTGGGCGCAGACTTAGCACTGCTCATCAGGCCATGCTGAGGCAGGTGTCCCAGATAGCACAACCAGACGCACTCACAACTAGAACCTACAACTACGTACTGGGGGGCTCTGGGGAGAAGAAGAAGAAAAGAAAAGAAGATTGGCAACAGATGTTAGCTCAGGTACCAATCTTAAAAAAAAGAAAGAAAAAGAAACAAAAAAATCCCATTACTGCCATTTAAAAAAAAAAAAAAGAAAACAGCTACAGAAAGGGCCACCCTTTGGTCAAGTGGTTAAGTTCCCGCGCTCCGCTTTGGCGGCCCAGGGTTTCACCAGTTTGGATCCTGGGTGTAGACATGGCACTGCTGATCAAGCCATGCTGAGGCGGCGTCCCACATAACATAGCCAGAAGGACCTACAACTAGAATATACAACTATGTACTGGAGGGCTTTGGGGAGAAGAAGAAAAAAAAAGCTGCAGAAAGTTCTCTGTCATTTGTTCTCCAGACAATGAGCATCAATTTTTAAAAGGCATGTTAATTTAAGTATATGCAAAAAAGAATTCATTTAAAATCATTACCAAAAAAACACCAGTAAGCACTGAGCTCCATAACTAGATAAAAGGCACTCTTGAAGGAAAAAAAATGTTAAAGTACATGTTAAAAAATGAAATAAAAATCTTAAAAGGTCTTAATCTAAATTAGAAGTATTGTTTGACAGATCAGCATGAATAAGTCAATTAGTTTCTGGAGAAAACAAAAAAATCTAGATTAAAAGTATTATATGAATACTTTTGGTCTCTCTCAAAATTAACATGTAATTTAACAGCATAGGAATTTATGTTAAATTACATTCAAATTAAATGAGACAAAAGAGTCATATAACCTTCAGAAAAAAGTTTATAAATAGGTTACATGAACTAATATCAGATTTTCTCACAGGCTGCTCTAAAGACTAGTTATTATTATTATTTAGACTAGTTAAACTAGTCTAAAGACTAGTTATTGGCCAGTGGTCAATAGCATTTATTCTAGAAAAATTCAAGCTGTAGAGAAAGCATTTTGTTTTAATTCTCAAATCACATCTCAAATGCCTGGTACATAGTGGTTCAGTAATTAGTAAATACTTGGTAAATTGTATTTAATCTCTTGGAGTTTGCCCTTGTCTTCATTTAAAGATAGTAATTTTCAAAACAGTATATGAATATGAAATCGCTGGAGAGGTACAGATGAGGACATAAAGGAATGTGGACACAAATGAGGAGAAAAATGCGGAAGAACCAAAGTAAAATTTGGGTAGAGAGGGTAAAATATGTTGGTCTGTATGGGCTACCGCTTAAATTCTATAGTAATCTGTTAAATTAGAGATAGTTTCTCTCCAAATGTCTTCAAATGAAACAACTCTGACAAAGCATAAGAATACAATAAATATATCTTCATTAATTTTAAGAAGCATTTTTAAAAAAGGTCTGAAACAATAATTTAACACTGCTTAACATTTAACAATGTTCTTATAATAGAATCCATATCTATGTCTTAGTCATAAAGACTTTTTAAGGTTATAGTCTTTAGTTATAAAGACTCTAAGAAAATGGAGTTTAAAAAAATTGATTATGTAATATGTTTCTGATTAGTGATATAAATCACATTTTTCCTACCAAAACAGAATTTCACACGTTCAAAATATTCACAGAACAAACCTGATGTCTGATGCTCATTTCCTGTTTTTTTCCCACAAGTCTTTCTGATGCCATTGCCAAACTTTTAAAAATATTTTTGCTTATAGAGTTCCACCTGATTTTTCTTTTTCCTCTTATCTATTATTAAACTTTCTAATAATATTGAAAAAGTAGGATAATAAACAACTATATATACTCCATCTAGACTCAATAAATGTTAGTGTTTCACAATGCCTGCTTTTTGAAATTACATATTACCTTAATTATGAGCCATTTGAACTTAGAATCGTGGTTTTTAGCACTGAAATGGACCCTTAGACAATAGGAATTGAACTCTTTCATAATATCCTAACAGCAGGAATTTTAAAAATAACCAATAAAAAGAGAAATAGCCCAGTATAAAAATGGGCAAAGAATAAATATAAGCAAATTTTTTTAAATAATAAAAATGCTCATAAGCATTATGAAAAAAATGCCACAGCATTAATAATTTTAAGGAAAAAAACACCAAATGAACAAAGAAATCACCTGTTGGTTTCTTTTGGTAATGAAATTGGGGTAGTGAGGGAGAAAAAGGGTCATATACATGTGAACAGGGGTTTAGTGGAAGAAGCCACTCTTCTATACCACCGAACTATAACAATATACTTTTCTGGAGGGCAAATGACCAAAATAGCCGTAAAAATGTATACAGCTTTGGCCCAGCAATTTCCCCTGTAGGAATTTAGCCCAAGAAAACAAATGGGAATGTGTTAAAATATTTAGCAACAAGCTAGTAACTATATGAGGATAGACTATTTCAATTCTGATATAACTATATGATGGAGTACTAGCAGGTTATCAGAAAGACAGTGTAAATAACTATCTATGGACATGGAAAGATGTTCACAACACATTGTCAGTGAACAAAAAAACAAGTTACAGTGTCCAATAGCTGCTCATTTTTAAAATAAAACACAAACACGTGTATATGAAAAGAAAAAGCATGGAAAAAATACAAAAGGAGTTCAATAAATATTTGATGATTGAACATAAGTGTTACTAACGGTTCTCTCTTGATAGTGGGACCACTGTTTGAAATTCTCTTATTTGCTTATTTCTATTTGCTAAATTTCCATAATAAATATTTATGCCTTTAAAATAAAAACACTACCATGAAATAGCAATAAGTAAAGCAAAACAGCAAAGCGCCCTTTCTCCTGTGGGCTTACGTAGCCAACAATCCCTCTGCAGGCCATTACCCACACGTTTGTCTCCCCCACAGTCCGAGTTCTCTCAGGGCAGGGACTGTGTCTGACGGCCACTGATTCACCCCATGGAACTGCATGTACCTGGCACATCGTTGTAGGCACAGATGAGCAAACTGTGGCAACACAGCAAGGACCACAATCCCAATCACCCAGTGCCCTGTACATTTCAAAAATGTCACTATCTCCAGTCAGATTCTCCTGATTGAAATTTCAGGTAATATTTACATATCCCAGATACAACGGTCTGGTGGAATTCCTTCTATGCTCCTAATACCATATCTGTGAATACAACTTTCGAACTTAGAAACCCAATTCTATGAAATTCTGTCCATATATTTCAGAATTAAGTACTTTATTACTATCCTTTCTTTTGGAAAATGATAAGAGATAGTTATATTTACTTTTTATTTGCCTGAAATCTCACATTCCCTTAGAGGGAAGACATGCTTGCTCCCTCTGGTAATGCTGCCGAGCATGACAGGGGGCAGAGGGAAGGGTGAGCATGGACATTAGGGATGAATAGTTGATCATGACAGACCTATAAAGCAACAAGGCCTGAAATCTATTCTCTACCAGTTCTCTTGATGGTAACACCAGGAATACAGTTTAAACCATTCTCCCCCCAGGGACAAATGAAAAACTTTCAGTACTATAAGATCTTCTTGAACAACTTATATTACCAATTTATATGATAATGGGAATAAAATTAGGAAACACAGGAATTCCTGCAATGATAAGTGGTTGTCTGGATGATCTCTAAGGTTCCTTCAAATTCTAAGCCTAAAAAACAAAAACAAAAAAACTTGTTTTATTTTTATATAAATAATTAACAGAAATAATTTCATTTGGAATGTTTTTCCTTCTTGGTGACTCTGGAGCCATATCTGGTTTGTATTTTATATCAGTAGTTTCTTTTATTCTAATTGGACTTCTTTGGAAAGAAAATACAAATCCTAAAGCAGTAAGTCAGATCAACTAGTTTTTTTCAAACTACAACCTCCAAAGATTCTGACTTCCCCTTGCCTTTGAGGAAGTACTTTATTGCTTAGGGAATCAGGGTGCAGAGTGGGGGGGAAAAATATTAAGCCATCACATAAAAAAAAATCATACAAAGCTATAATTATTGACAATGATGAGCATTATAAAGGAAAGCATAGGGTGCTGTGTTATGAAGGAAAAGAATATAGCACCAGGAACAGCATCTGTTTGAGAGAGAGACAGTCAAGCACGTTTCTGAGGAAGGGGGATCTGAGCTGAGATCTGAAGGGAGAGGGCTGGCAGAGTCTATTCCAGGCAAAGGTAGTAACAGGTACAAACTACCCCGAGGCAGAAGGAAACAAGGAAAGATGGCCAATAGCTTCAGCTATTCAATCTCAGGGGAGAGAGATTCCTGCTGTTAATATTCACGCATTTCAGCCTATAAAGTGAAGTCCAGATACCTTCAACAGAGCGCGGATGTCATCCTTGCTGGAGTGCCCGTCTACTCGAGTGACCCTGTACTCTAACCACTGTTGAACTATTGCCTTTTCTTCTGCCGTGCTCCCAAGCAAATATTCTTTGTTGGCTTGCTTGACTAGATGAGCCGCTATGGTAGTCAGTCCTGTGAGACTTGGGCCATTGTTTGTTTGAAGAACCGGAATCTTAAAAAGAAAAAAAAAGTGCTTCAGATAAATTTTAAAAACATACCATCACGACTGCAAGTTTTAAGAAACTGTGAAACCCCTCAAGTGTTTTTTCAAATACTCTCACGATACTAAATTACGTACAAATGGAAATCAGAAAAATAGCAGTTATATAATTTACATTTGCTAACAGATGCTTGATGATGAAACTGGTAACAACATTGCAAAAATCAGTATAATGTTCCTACATAATTTATAACTGTGTATGTACAAAAAGAGAAAATGGAAATCCTAATAATAATGCATTAATTTCAATCAGGATTATCCATATCCTGGATGTAAGTATGTAAGGTGAACATACTTAAATAAACCTGACTTCCGTAAAAAAAAGAAACAATTATAGTAACACTGGGTTCATGTTGATATAGTCAGAACCACCAAATGGGATCTAGGCTGGCTTTAGCAATATGTGGTCTAACATAATTAGCTATCTCATTAACTAGTGCTGACTGTGACAGTGGCTTGGTTGCCATGGATTGCATATTCATCAGTTTTGGAGTCATTTATAGTGAGGTCACTCTAAATGTCGGCCAATAATTCATATTTTGAAAACTTTCCAAAATGTAATAGAGACTACCGATAATAAAGTCTAGGCTTCAGGTAATCATCTGAAAACGAATCCTACTTTTTTGAGGAAGATCAGCCCTGAGCTAACATCTGCCACTGAGGAAGACCGGCCCAGAGCTAACATCCGCGCCCATCCTCCTCCACCACACATGTGGGACGCCTACTACAGCATGGCCCAACAAGCGGCGCCACACCCACACCCGGGGATCCCAACCGGCAAATCCTGGGCTGCCACAGCAGAACATGTGAACCCAACTGCTGTGCCACCGGCCTGGCCCCTAATCCTACTTTTTAATCCTATAGCCCCTATTGTAACAGCAATACAAAGGGTGAGATTATAAGAAATTGCTAATTAACTGAAATGTTCTTGATGTACAACTAAGCGAAGCATTATGAGACATTCAAAAGAAAACGGAAAGTATCATCCAAAGGGCAGACCAATTATAAATAACAGGCGTACAATCTAAACAACCTAAGCAAACCAGAAGAGAGCACTTTCTGGAGCTGCCGCTCTTTCAGCCATAAACAGTATCTGGTATAATGATTTACACTTCGCAGCGCACTTTCACAAGCACATTGAGGTCAACAGCGCTCTGTGAGGTATATGGAGAGATAACATTTTACCGATGCAGACTGAAAGGTTCCCTCCAGAAGCTGAAGGAAGTACCGACAGGTAGTCTGGGCTTTCCACCGCACCTGCTGCTTCCCATTCACTACGGAGCTCCTCGGAGTCTCACTTCTGCCTTCACACTCAAATGAAACCACTACCTCCAAGATCACCAATAATTTCCTTTAGAAAAACGCATGAAAAGAAAAGAATATGGAACTCTGAGGGTGCTGGTGATGTTCTGTCCTCAACTGTGTGGTTACCTGAGTATGTTCACTTTGTGGTAACTCATTGAGCTCTGTGTGCTTTTCTGAATGCATGTTATATTAAAAAAAAAAAAAAAAGAAGAAAGAAGGAAAGAAAACTCGCAGTTGCTGAGTGTGAGGGGAAAATGACAATTCTAAAGAGAATTATTTATGAAGATAAATTATCCACCCCACCACAGTTACTCAAAAAATTCCCAGTTACTTTCTCATCTAATCATTGGATCTCTTAAGATAGGTTAGTAATCTCACCCTCATATTACAGATAAAGAACCAAGGTCACCAAGTTTGTAATGGCACCGTCAGGGTTTGAATAAAGTGTAACTTGCCCAAAGTCCATTCTCTTTCCTCTACACAACCTAAAGTATACGAGTCTTATGCAGTTGAAATCATGGGACATATACTATTTTCATACTCATCTTAAGCTTCCATGCCTTCAAAGTGATCACTTTCAATGGCTGTTTAAGCAATATTCCAATGTGCTGATGTACCATAATTTAATGAACCATTCTCCTAGAGCTGAATCTCTGGATTTTTTTCCATTTTTAATTATTATTGGTAACATTAGAGGATGCCTTATTGCTGGACTACTGCTGTCAGCTGTCTTCCAAAAAATGACTGAATCTTATCACACATCCTCATCCCTTTCCGCAAATACACAAACAGAAACTTTCAATAGCTGTCCTCCACTAAAAAAAAAAAATTGTAATTAAAATAAAATAAGAAATGACACTCTGAACTCCAAAGCCCTCAAAATTGGGCCTCAATTTGTAATTCTGGGTTTATGTTGCATTGCACCACTCATTATATGCTCTCCTAGTTGCCTCAAACTTCCCAGTCTTTCATAATTTATTGGTCCTACACAATTAAACACCAGCTCTTCCATGAAGCGTACAAACCCATTCTTACAGTCTGAATTAACTTTCTCCTCCACACTGCTCCACAATCTTTCCCCCCATTTTGTAAATATTTTGTTCTGCTTTAAATTAGTTGCAGAGGACTGTTTCTCATACTAGATAACAAGCTCCCTGAAGGCAAGACTCACCTCTTGGCAATGTGCCTTAAGAAACAGAAACCAAACTAGGGAGTAGTGGCTGAAGAGAAGGAAGCAGCATGAGGCCAGAGGAAAAAGCAAAAGCAGGCCCATTGGGCACTAATGCCCACTCTGCTGATCCCAGGCACGTCATGTATCCTTTCTACATTCCAGTTTTACTTACTGTAAAAATGATAATAATAGTGCTTTAGGGACATGATTTGAACACGGACTAGAATAAAAAACAGAAAAAGAAAGAACGAAAACATCATCCGGAAAAAACTTCAAAGGGGCAAAAAATGTGTATATCCCAAGTCGTCTTCCTACAATCATTCTCCTCTAATACATTCCCACAGAGGCAAACATTGATCTTTATAAAACACAAATGTCCTTCAATGCCCTAAGAAATCTGTGTCCTTATACCTCAGCAGTCAATTTCATACCGTGTAACTTCCCCTCTCATTCTCTGCACGTTGCACAATGAACTTGATATCACAAGACCTCACAAAAGCCTTCCCTGAACCTCCCAGACTGAGCCAATACCATGGTGGGCTCTCTCAGCCGTCTTCACTTCAATGTAGCACTTTTCAGTATTGTAATTAAAATAGCTGAAATGTTTGTGCACCCAGCTGAAAAGCACACTTTCTGAGTGAGGGGAGGGAGCGTGTCCGCCTTAACCCCAGGCCTAGCACAGTTCTACTTGGCACCCAGTTAGCTCTGCGGTAGTCGCGTCATGCTGAATGAAAGGTCCTGTCACAGTAAACGCTGTCACTGAGCGCAAACGCGGGGCCTCCAGGCTGGTCTATCTAAGGGCTCTTTGAGGATCCTCCTCGCTTTCTCAGAATGGGATGATGATAATCTCCCAGGAGGAAAAGCTCAGGCCGAGCCCACTGGAGCTGGTTCCCTTCCTCCCTCCGAGAGCCAGGGCTGCAAGAGCAGACAGAGAGGCTCCAGCCCAGCCGGGGCGCGGACACGTGGAAAGCCCGGGAGCCGCATCCTCGCTCCGCCCGCCTGTGCCGGCCGCCCGGTGCACCCGGGCTCAGCAGGCCCCACTCCCGTCCACCTCCACCTCCGTTTCTCACCTGGCGCTCGCCCTGAGCGCTGTATTTGTTCCCTTTACTCAGCCCCAGGGACTTCTCCAGCAGCGTCAACTCTGCGGCCGCCGCCATCTTCCGGGAGAGCTCCTGGCAGGGGCGGGACCTGGACAGCAAGGATCTCCCGCATTGGCGGGAAGGGAACGCCCACTCCTACAAGCGTCACCGGCTATTGGCTGAACGAAGGGGGGCGTGGAAGGCGCGTCTGCGCGCAGGAGGCGGGGCTAAGGAAAGGGGCGGGACCGACGGAGGGGTGTGGGACAGGTCGGGAGAGATTCTCACCTCTTGGAGCTCTGGAGGACCTACCTCAGAGATGAGCTTTGGTTGCCGCAGTACACAGGATCTGCCAACTTCTAAACCGCAGGCTCTTGGCCTGGCTGCTAGGGTTAACTAGTTAACTCATTTGACGTGCTAAGAGACTTTTTATACATAAATGGAACCGAAATTTACTTTCGTTTGACTCAAGACTCTGTGAATTAGAACAATTGAATTGAGTAGCAAAGAGTTCACAATTTATTGGAATTTCTAACATATAGCATTATTCTTGGGGATTTTAATTGTGTTGTAATGGTGAATTGGAAAAACTAATTTTTCTTCTCCCAATCTGCAGTTCAATAGTAGCAGTAGAATTATGGATTTAAAGATTATGCATGGAGCATATCAGTGCTTCATCTTTCTCGTATTGCAAATAAAGATCACTAAAACTATTAATGGCTGATTTTCTCTCCATATTGAAGCATGAATAACCAAAACGTGTATTAGTCTGAGAGAAATGGCAAAGAAATGCTGCAAGGTAGTTAATCACTAAATCAGAAATATAGAAGTTTAGTGGGATATGCTGTCACTGTTGATGCATTCTCTACCCCTCAATACTTAATGAGTTAACACTGGCAGCAGAAGTAAATGTAAGGGAAAGAGAATTTATCCAAATCAACATAAATAAAATACAAAGGAAATTCCCGTATAAGTGGATTATTGTGCATTAGTTATTGGTTTATTTTCCTTATAGAGGACTGAATGACTCTTTCCCTACTTCCAAAAAGGCCAGTTCTCTGAGAGAATTCACATGTCTATTTTCAGTGTTTAGGCACACTTTTTGCTTGAAATAAAACATTTTTTTAAAAAATTCACGTTTATTTAATTCCAGTGAGTGGTAGATTTAAAATAAGGCCTGAGATAAATGACTAAACTGAGATTTGAGTTCCAGTATAAAGTATCTGAATGGATATTCACCCAAATGATGAAAGTGATAACTTTGGGAGAGTACCATTGGATAAATGGGTGGAATATCACTTTTTAATCCATGCACTTTGATTTGAATTATTGCAGATAGATTATGCAGTTAAAAAGAAAGTTTGTTTGTTTTAATGTAGTTATAAGCTTCTTTCTTCCTTTCAAGTCCTGAAGGTTTTTAACCTTGAATTTCCTTTTCTTCTCTGATATTCTTACTTTTGAGGTGGATGTTCAGGACTGGGGAAGAAAATTGGTTGACCGCTGCAGCACTTCTCAGATGAAAAGGAAGGGAGGTGATGCCATATAAAAAGAGGCAGATTTAAACTGGATTTCAGGAGCCAGAGGCTCTAGTCTCTGTTCAGCACTAATTAGTTGTGTTACTCTAGGTAGGCAGTTAACCCCATTGGGACTCAGTTTCCCCAAGTATAAGCGAATGGGCTCGGATTAGATATTCTCTCTGGTTCCTTTTGACATCGACATTCCATCTTTCGATATTTAAGGTGAACATATATTTCACTTTTTGCCTTAAAGTGAACATGTATTTTTGTACTATTGATGTAATTTTGTAATTGTAAGTTTGTAGTGTAACTGCACTACTTGTACAATTTTGTATTGTTGGCTGAAAGAACCTTTTGTTGTGGCCAACTGTGGCATATAAATATAGTGGCTTGCTTGTTTTGAACAGAATTTAGGGGTGGCCACAGAGAAAGGGGTCTAGGTGTCCCTGTCATACTCTCTACTCTTAATACCAAGCTTCATGACTTGCATAGCCAGTCCTGCATGTAAAGCTTATTACTTTTGCTCTCTTTGTTTAATAGACTAAAAAGATTCCAAGAAGCATTTGAGGTTTTAGCATTCAGTACTTAGACAAAGGGAACTGAATGTATCTTTAATGAGTGTAATCTATTTCAGAAACTTCAGCATGATCTAGCGTGGCTGCCTCTGTATCCTTTATTTCCCTCCTCCGTGAAGCCAGAAGGAAACAAAGACTTGCTAAGCACTCTTGTGTGTTAGGTGGTTTAGCATACTTTATATCATTCAATCTTCACAACAATAATGGGAGATGTGTGGCCTTTAGGTATTAGTCAGTGCTTATGGATGCAAACAACAATATCTACTCTGATTAATTTAAGCAGAGGAGAGATATATTAAACGCTTTTAGGAAGTTCACAATAACGTCAAGAAGGCTGGAGAAACGATCTCAAAGCTAGGGTTCCAAAACCAAGCTGGAGAATTGCCCACTCATGTGATGGCTACAAAGTACAAACACCAGAAATTAGATTTTACTGCAGCTGCTACTGCCATCAGCACCAATGCCGCTTCTGCATCAGGAGCATGACCTTAAAATCATTGGGAAACTGCTCCTCTCCCACTGTTGCCTTTGGAAGTTGGATGCCCTGGGCTACCAGCTATTGCAGCACAAATGGCAGCTCCATACATAGTGTGCTTCCTAACGTTGCTCACTTCTGAATCAGAATGTGTGACTGGCAGAACTTGCTTGTGTCCTGGCTGTAAGGTAATCCCGGAAATTGAGTTTGACTTCTATATTCAAGGGCCATTGATTACATATTTATCTCTTGTACCGTGACAAAATGATTCAAATAAAGGAGGCACTCATTATGCAATGCTTATCTGCTCTGCATTATAGAAACAACATAACTACCAAAAATGTGTAACTATCAAAAACTCTGACCATTGGCATAACTATCAAAAAATGCAGAGATAAGATGAAGAGCATATGGAAATGAGAACAGCTTGCTGATTGTCCTCAATATTAATTAGAAGAAAAAAGCTATTATTTCAAATTAGATGCTGAAAGAGCAGGAGGGAAAGAGAAAGAAAAGATTACTAGCTAATTCCAATATTGTTGGTAATAGGTAACTGATAGGCAGTATCCAAAAGAAGAGGGGATTAAGGTTATCATATAAAGGTATTATTCTAAAGGAAACCTTAAAACAAAAACACCAATTTTCCTAAATGCCAAAAGAAAGAGAGAAGGCTAGCAAATAAAACAGACCACGTAAGTGGATGACTGTGTGTCTGTCTGTATGAGTGTGTGTAGTTTCTATAGCATAAATCAGTATTACAAAACTGAGACAACTATCTAGATTACATTAATAAATATATATAGGCTTAACTTACCTTTAAAAAGAAAAGGATTTTTTGAATTGGCCAATAAAGCAAAATTCACATTATATTGTTTACAAGAGCACACCTAAAACAATAGGAAGGGCACTTTATAATGCTAAAGGCTACAGTACGAAATAAAGATAAAATAGTGATTAATATTATGTATCCAATAACATGACAAAATTTTCACTAAAGCAGATACAACAGGAGATGCTAGGAGAAATAGAAACCCAGTAATAATAAGAGCCTTTAATATCTCTCTCTCAATCTGAGACAGAGAAAGGGGACGAAAAATCAGGAAGAATATAAAAAATCGAGACGAGATAATCAATAATACAGAACATACACCATATACAAATCTCTCAAACCTGATAAATAGAGAAAACACCTTCTGTATTAGTTTCCTATGGCTGCTATGACAAATTCATGCAATCTTGGTGGCTTAAAATAACAGAATTTATTCTCTTGCATTCTGGAGGCTACAAGTCGAAAATCAGTTTCATTGGACCAAAATCAAGGTGTCAGCAGGACGGCGTTGTTCCGATCTTCAGGGCCAGCATCTTCAAATCTATTTCTGTTCCGTCTTTTCACAGACTTCTCCTTTGTGTGTGTCAAATGTCCCTCCGCCTCTCTCTTGCAGAGACACTTGTAATTGCATTTAGGGCCCAATTGGATAACCCAGGGTAGTCTCCCCATCCACAAACCCTTAACTTAATCATATCTTTCAAGACCCTTTTTCCTTATAAAGCAATGTTTCCAGGTTCTGGGGATTAGGACCTGATATATTTGGGGGCCGCTGTCTGCGTACCATGCCTTCTTTTCAAGTGTACATGAACATTTATGAAAACTGATCATATGTTGAGTCACAAAGAAAATACATTTAAAGCATAAATACATCCTAAAGAATAAAAATAACAAAAACATGATTCTTTGACCACAATACAATAAAATCAGAAACTAATAATAAAATAAAAATTTTAAAAGGCTTTTTTTAAAAACAGAAAACATTCTAATAAACAACTCTTAGGTGAAAGAGGAAACAGGGTGAAACCGCAGAATATCTTGAATCTTTGAGATACAGTTAGAAGAGGAAAATCTGTACTATAAAATATTTATATTAATAAAAAATAAATAAAATTTAAATCTAGATAAAGAATTTAAAAATAAGCCAAAAGAGAGCAGAAGGAAAGAAGTAATAAAGATAAAAGAAATGTGTAAGAAAACAACAACAACAAAAGAGTAGAACTTATACATAAAGTCAAATTACAAAAGTTGAAAAACAGCAAAATTAACAAACTACTACCTACTATAGCGAATAGAAAAGGGAGAAAGCACAAATACAAAATTTCAAGTGACAAGGGGGAAATAACCCTCATAACAGAAAAATTTAAAAATCTTGAGATTTATTTTGTACAAGTCTATGAGAATAAATGTGTAAACTTAGGTGACATTTTGTAGAAAAAATTTTCAGAATCATTTTCTAGAAAAGTGCAATGTAAAATTGACACCAGCGGGACAGAAATTCTAAATAGACTGATAATTACTACAGAAGAGATAGAGGAAGGAGTAAAAGAGCTTCCCCACATGAAAATACCACGTCCACGTGTGTTCACAGGTGAGTCTATCAGACTGAAAGATCAGATCATCCCAATGGTGGTAAAGCTATCCCAGAGCATAGACGAAGAAGAAAAACTTGGCAATTCGTTTTACAAAGGGAGTAAAACATTGGTCCCCAAACCTGTCAAAGATTTCTCCAAACAAGAAAACTACAGAACAATCTCA